CTTGTTTTTCACTGACCATGGCAAGAATTAATACCCTACTTTGGCAAAGCTAAGGTTGTAGTTCCAGTTCCTCATTCCCAGTCTTTTCTTTTTCTTTTTTGTTTTCTTTTTCTTTTTGACCGGTAAGGGGATCACAACCCTCAGCACAGTGTGGTCTGCACCACGCTCAGCCAGCGAGCGCACCAGCCATCCCTATATAGGATCCGAACCAGTGGCCTCGGCGCTACCAGCATCGCACTCTCCCGAGTGAGCCACGGGACCGGCCCCCAGTCTTTTCTACAGATGGAAAGATGAACAGTTTTTGGCGTTGATTTTTCTCTTAAGAAACAATCTATCATTTATGATTAGACATCTGCCTAGTACATACAATGATATTGAGAAATGAAGCTAATTTTTTTCAGATTTGAATTTAGTTTTTAAAGTATTTGTGGAAGGAGAACAATTTGTAAAGTAATGTTCAGGGAAAAAAAATAAAACCTAGTTAAATTTTAGAAACTTTGATGGTCACGTAACTATCATCCTGTGGAGAATTGCATTAAAGAATGAATAATTGTCCAAATATGAATAATAGAATGTATTATATTTTATCTTTTTATTATCATGCAGTAAAATTGACCTTTTTTTCTTTTCTGGTATATAGCTTCATGAATTTTAATATGTGTATAGATTCATCAAACCACCACCAAAATCAGGATACAAAACATTTATATCACTCCCCAAAATTCCCTCATGTGTCCCTTTATGGTCACCTTCCCTTTGCCAGTAACCCCTGGTAACTACCAATCTGTTTTCTATCCCTGTAGTTTTATCTTTTTGAGAACGTCATATAAAGGAGATAATTTATTTTGAGACTGGCTCCTTTCATTCAGCATAATAATGCCTTTGAGACTCATCCAAGTTGTTGCATGTATCAGACATCTCTTTTTATTGTTGAGTAGTATTTTGCTGTATGGATGTACTACAGTTATTCATTCACCCTCTGAAGGGCATTTGGGTTGTTTTCCAGTTTGGGGCAATTATGAGCAGAGCTGCTATGAACCTAGTACAGACAGTGGAATTTTTGTGTCATACAGTGTTTTATTTGTTTTTGATTTAAAAAAATTTTTTTTATATATTCAGATTTGTTTTAGACCAAATCTAATTTCCTTCAAACCATTTTTGAAATATTTTTCCTCCTACTTATATAACATTTCCTCTTTCATCTTTGTCATTTTTTTATTCTGCCTTTTCATCAGGTTGCCTTACTGTAGGTATCCTATCACCAAAACTCTCATACAGATTCTGTTGACTTCATTTATGTACCATTGTTCATTTCTCACTGACCTTCCAACTACATACTTTTTCATTCTTAAGTCAGGATTAAAATCATATATATGAAGAGCATTCTGCTTTGCAAATCATTGGTGACCTCCACTGTTTCAATAGAAAGGCCTGATTCTGGATTTCAGTCCCTGTCATGATAAACTCTAACCTCTGCTTCTTACGTTAGGTAAAATTTATTTTCCTTTCTTTAGGGCCTTGATTGCCTCTGAGCCTTCTATTCAGGTGACCCTGCATGCTTATAAGTTCTTATCTGTTAGACCCTTTTTTTCTCCTTTTGTATGTCTTTGTTCAGATATAACTTTTCATATCCAAAACCAAGTATACCTGTTTTGTAGGTTACATGATTGTCTACCTAGAAAATTCAGAAGAATCAGATAAAACAAACAAACAAAACTTTAGATGTTATAAATAAGAGAGTAAAGTGGCCAGACATAAAATAAATATAGAAAAATTAATATATTTTCTCCATACTTCTGTACTGTTTCTGAAATATAATAGAAAAATCCCATTCACAGTTGCAACCATGAAACAAATAGTTAAGAATTTTTCTGAAGGAATTTATATAACAAAAACTATAAAATTTTATTGGGAGACGCAGGAGACTTGAATAAATTAGACATATTGTTCTTAAGAATTGAAAATCATATAAAGATGTTAGTGTTTCCTAAATTAATTTAGAGATTTAATGTAATTACAATCAAAGCTTGGATTTTTTGTTTCTTGTTTGTGTAATTAGTGGAGGTGGTTTTTTCCTCTGGTAGAATGATTCTGATGTTCATTTGGAAGTAGACATGGTTGAAAATAGCCAATACCCAACCTATTACTATAAAGTTACAGAGATAAAAAAAAAATGGATAAATCCAAGAAACAGATTAGAAAAGCTGATAATAATCTAGCAGACATAAAAATCCAAAGTCTGATAGAAATGGCATCTCAGTCAATGAAGAAAGGAAGGATTATTTAATCAGTAGACTGGGTCAGTTAGTTAACTATTTGAGGAAGAATTAATTGGATTCTCACCTCACTTGTACCATACACAAAAATAAAACACCAAATAAAGAATTATATATTAAGTAGAAATCTGAAAGAGAAGATAATGTAGGTAACTATCAGTGTCTGTAATGGGGAAGAATTTTAAGGATAAAAGTAACAGAAAATATCATAAAAATAAAAATTGATAATATTGACTGTAACAAAAACCGAATCTTCCACTTAGTAAAAACATACCATAAATAAAATTAAAATACAAATAGCAAACTGTGATAAAGTATTTACAAATTAAGAATAGCCTTAATATATGAAGCATTTTGGGGTCTAGAATGGTTAGCTCAGTTGGTTAGAGCATGGTGCTCATAACACCAAGGTCCAGGGTTCAATCCCTTTGCTGGCCAGCCACCAAAAAAACAAACAAACAAAAAGCATTTTTTTTTTCTTTTTGTCTTTTTTCGTGACCGGTAACGGGATCGCAACCCTCGTTGTCGCGCCCGTACTGCGACCAGCAACGGATCACAACCCTCGGTGTCGCACCCGCACTGCGCTCAACCAGTGAGCGGACCGGTCTCTATATGGGATCCGAACCCGTGGCAGGAGCGCCACCGCACTCTACTGAGTGCGCCACCGGGCCAGCCCCCAAAAAGCATTTTTTAATAAATTAGAAAAGCTTTTAAATTCCAATAGAAAAATGTGCAGAAGATAGATCAAATAATAAGAGAAAGATTACCAATGGTAAAAAAAATATGATTTTAAAAAAGCATCAGCCTCTTCACTAATTAGATAAATGTGACTTTAAAACAACAGAAAGATACCATTGTTCATCTGTCAAATTAAGAATTTAATATTTTTACTTGTAAAACTGTATACCAAGATAGCCACTGTCATATACTGTGGTGGGATTATAAACTGATCAAATCTTTCTGGAAAGTATTTGACATTCTATTTTAAGGGCTTTAAAATAGTCAACGCACCTTTTAACCTAAAAAATTGCCTTCAGGAAGTAATCATATATACTGTTTAAGTATAAAAATATTCATTGTAGCAACATATATATATATATATATATATATACTGAAAACTTAGAAGTAATTAAATATCTAACAGTTTCGATGAAATATTATAGAGGTGTTAAAAATCATATTGTATAGGCATAGGAAAAGGTTTAAGATAATACCTAGACCAAAAACAGCAGGATACAAAGTATTACATAGCACTAGTTTAACTCATTGAATTTTGGATAATTGTGATTTCTTTATATTTTTTGTTATTTTTTCATATTTTCTATAATGATCATATATTTTGCAATGAGAAGCAAAAATAACCATTTAAAATTATTTTAAAAAAACAAGGCTGGCTGGTTAGCTCATTCCATAGAGTGTGGTGCTGATAACACCAATGTCAAGGGTTTGGATCCCCATACCTGTCAGCCACCAAAACCAAAAGAACAGTTAATGTTCAAGAGAATACAAGGTGCAGTGAGTTTCCGATTTAAAATGTAGAAATAAATCTGTAGAATTTAACAGCATTTATCTTTAGGTGATGTAATGTAGTTTATTTTTTAACTTTATATCTGCTTACTTTACAACTTTCATTCAGTTAATACGTCTACTTTTATAATAAAATTTTAAAACCTCTGATTTAAAAAAAGATATTCTTACTGGAGATTTAATGAATACTAACTATACCTAATCCTCAATCTCATTGTACTCATAATTTATATTATTCATATGTTGTCATATTTAGGTTATGTTTATTCTCACCTCTTTTGTTTTGTTAATCCCTAATGTTCTTTTTTTGTTTAAAGAGAAAAAGAAAAGAAAATTTCTAGAGTTCACTTTTCCCTTTGGTTCCTAATAGGAAACTTAATTATTTAAATGTAAGTTGTTAGAAGGTTCATATTAATTTAACCTAATGAATTATTAGCATTCAAAAGTATTTGCATCTACCAAAGGTTCAAAATATACAAGCTGGTTTCTTTTAATGGTTTCTTTTCTGGTAAACTAAAACAAATCATTATGCATAAGAAACTGCACCCCTTTTAGCATGTTTTTATAAACTGTCTCTCATCTTACTTTACTGCTAGAGAGAAATAAGTGAATATGTTTTCATGTGAAATAAATGAATGTGAATCATGTTCAAGTCCTTTACCCATTTGCCCAATTCCCAGCTGACCTCTGGATGGAATTAATCTTTAGCTATCTAATATGGGAATTAATCTTTAGCTATCTAATACGACAAAACTAACATTAAACCTATTGCTTCTGGGATAATCTTCTCACTAAACTCAGGGAAAATGAGAGGGAGTTGCCACTCACTGACTTAAATGCATCTGATAAGTATAAGAGTTCTTTAATATAGTGAGATAAGAAATGTATATAAATTAACATTTAGCTATTTGATGGAATATTCACTTTTTGTATGTATATACTGTATATCAGTATGTAATGTGTACTTTTGTTTATGTTTATTAAATATGATGTTCTGGAATGTGTTTTCAGTTTGCAGATTCTGAGAATGCAATTCCAACATTTTTAAGAGGGCGACAACCATGACTCCACTTGCTACATATATTAGTCAAAATGGAACGAAGTCAATCTATTGAAAGCTTTGTTTTGCTTGTTTGATTAGTTTGTTTAGGAATACATTTAAATTGTGATCTTTAATATAATTTCTTCTTCTAATAGCTTGGTGCTAACAGTGGTTTGCACATCATCATCTTTGATGAAATCGATGCCATCTGCAAGCAGAGAGGGAGCATGGCTGGTAGCACGGGAGTTCATGACACTGTGGTCAACCAGTTGCTGTCCAAAATTGATGGGGTAGAGCAGCTGAACAACATCCTAGTCATTGGTATGGTTACTTTGAAAAAAAAAAAAAATTACTATTCTTTCAAAAAAACATGAGACACATAGGTTCTGAATTAAGATCTGGGTAGGTAGTAATTATACTATTCTGCCAGTGTTTACAGATTAGAACCAAGCAATATTGAACAATTTGACTATTTTAATTCTAGGTTAGTAGGAAGATAAAAGATGGGTTTCAGTGACTTGTATGTTTAAGCTTATAGCTCACCCTCAGGTGAAAAAGGCAGCACAATGTAATGCAGTGGTTTTCAAACTGTGTCCTGTAGGCCTCCAAGGGGTCCTCAGAGGTGTTTCAGGGTCAGTGAGGGCCAGGGAGTGAGCTTTAGATACTGCAGTGCTATTATAACTTCTTTTAACTGTTTTATATACTGAGCTGCTTCTTAAGATGACTTTTGAAAAAAAGCCTTTTATTTTATGAAGGTTGAAAACCACTGTCCCACAAAAAGGAGGGGACTTTGGAGTCAGATCATGTTCACATTGTCCCTCTGTCACTTTGACAGGTTATTTACCCTCTTTCTGAACCTTTAATTTTCTTTTTAAATATTGGAAGTTTTCATTACATTTATATTCCACTGGCTTGTACAGTAGTGAAATACTAAAGCAAAATCTTCAGGTATTTTTATTAGAACAGATCGAGAACAAATGCTATTTTTATTCATAATAGTTTGGTTTTCTTTTTTTTTTTTTTCTTCCTTTTTGTCTTTTTTCGTGACCGGTAACGGGATCGCAACCCTCAGTGTCGTGCCCGTACCGCGACCGGCAATGGGATCGCAACCCTCGGTGTCGCGCCCGCACCGCGCTCAACCAGTGAGCGGGCCGGTCTCTATATGGGATCCGAACCCTCAGCGGGAGCGCCGCCACACTCCCAAGCGCCGCACTCTACCGAGTGCGCCACCGGGCCGGCCCAATAGTTTGGTTTTCTATTTGACTTTTAAAAATATCCCCTTAGCTTATTGGGGAAAGTGCCATTTTTACATATACTGAAGGGACATTTTATCTTATTTTTGTACTCTGCTCATTTGTTTTAACATTGGTGCTCAGGAATGACCAATAGACCAGATCTGATAGATGAGGCTCTCCTTCGACCTGGAAGACTGGAAGTTAAAATGGAGATAGGTAAGTAGATCTGTTACTGATGGTTTTGGTTTTATATCATGAGAAGCAGATGTTTACATGCTTGAGTACCTATAAGAAAAGCATTAGGATTATAATAATTTCTGATGGTGCTTTTGAGACTAGAAAAATGTTTATTTTATTTTTAATTTTATCAGGCTTGCCAGATGAGAAAGGTCGACTACAGATTCTTCATATCCACACAGCAAGGATGAGAGGGCATCAGTTACTCTCTGCTGATGTAGATATTAAAGAACTGGCTGTGGAGACCAAGAATTTCAGCGGTGCTGAATTGGAGGGTCTGGTGCGCGCAGCACAGTCCACTGCTATGAACAGGCATATAAAGGTCAGGAAAATCAGCTAAATAGATTAGGAGTTTGCAGCCCTATAAATACTATGCCAGTGTACTTTCTCTTTCCTTTCAAGCATGCCAGGGGCTAGAGTAATGCCGACTTTTGATGGAGAAGAGAGATGATAAAAAGAACACGAACTAATTGTCAACTGCTAAATCTTCAGAGTAGCAGGAAGAAAGATAATGGTGGAATCTGTCTTATGGTAACCACTGACTCATCTACCTTAGGTTCACAGACATGTGAAGGGAAGATTTTGAAGAAGTTTTAAAAAATTTTTTGGGGCCGGCCCGGTGGCGCACTGGATAGTGCGCCGCTTGGGAAGCGCAGCGGCGCTCCCGCCCGAGGGTTCGGATCACACGCACCCAAAAAAAGCTAGTAGGGAAACTTGCCAGAATTTGAACCCAGATCTGCCAAAACTCCAAAGTCAGACCATAATTGTGTCTCCCAGTGTGTAAATATCTATCAAATACTTTGTGCACATGTGTGAACATGCCAAACTTTGAATGATTTAAGTATAACCTGTATTTTAATACTTAGGACAGCATCATAAAATTAATTTCTAAATGAATATTGAAATTTATCCAGTTTCTATGTTTAGCAATTGGTGTTAATTTACCTCTCATAAGTGCTAGAAAGGTTCTACAATACCTCCTCCAGCCCTTTTATACTATTCAAGCTTTTTATTAGCCCTAATGTTGATTGCCTTCCCAGGGCATCTACTAGTTTGAGTATAATTTGTCTAATTAAATTTAAAGAAGAGATGTTTCAGGGAGCACCATTTCATCATTTCCTCTTAAACTCTATGCTGTGGACTTTAATGAGGACCTAAACCCCATCTTAACCCAGCCTTAGTTTCAGCACAGATGAGCTGTGCTTGTTAAGACAGTCTAAAAAAAAAAAATTTTTTTTGGACTGTATCAAGTTGTAATAAATCATAAGAAGTTGGGTTTTCTCCTTATGTACTAGAATTATGGGGGCTGCTTCATTCAACAAATATACTGAATACTTGCTATTTTGCATTAGACTGGATATACAAAGAATATAAGTCATGACCTCTTCCCTCCAGGAGTTCAGTCAAGGAAATGGACATGTTTACAAACTAGTACAATAATGTTGTAGGTACTATGGTAGAAATATGTAGCAGGATACTTCTATTTTGATAAATTAAGTGCTCTTGATTCTTTACTATCTCTTCTCTTTTTCAGGTTTTAGTTATCACCTGATGAGTACTATATTCATATCTGTTTCTTGAAAGAATGTTTCCTACTTTCAGGTTCATTCTAAATACCCCTACCTGGATAGTTAACCAGGTCTCAAATTTAATATTCCAAAACCAAATTTACTGTCTTTTTTTGCTACTTTCCTTCCTGACCCTATTCCCTTATTTATGCCAATTTTCCAGGCTTAGAACTTCAGGATTATCTTTGGTTCTTGCCAGTCTACTGTATCCTACATCAAGTCATTTGCCAAATTTTGTCAGTTCTGTCTTGGCAGTATCTTTCAGTTCTCACTGCCACTACCCACCTTCTCCTTGAGTAACCTTCCTGTTTCATATCATTCTACTGTTCAGACTCTTTCAATAACTTCCCATGTCTACAGAACAAAGTGCAGACTTTTTAGCCTGGTCTTTAAGGGCCTCTAGATCTGACCCTAAGTGGCCTTTCCAGCTGTATTCCCAGTTATTCTCTATATACTTCAGCCAAACTTAAATACTCACTGGTCAGAAGACATAAATTTATTTTTCAACCTCTCTGCTTTTGCTTTTTTGTTTCAGTAAGGGTTTTTACCCTCTACGTTTACCTATCTTTTCATTACCTCCTTTATATGCTACCGCTTTTCTCAGACCTTTTCTTAGTCTCCCTTTGAAGAATGATGTACTCTCTTCCTTCTTGAAATAGTAGTGTACCATTTATGGTACTTTTGGTTGACTTTGGTTCAAAATAGATTTATCCAGCACCTACTATATGCCAGACACTGTGCTAGGAGTTAATGCTACAACTGCAAAGAAATAAATTGCCAACTATTGAGCAGCTCACAGTCTAATCCTTCACATGCAATGATAGAACCTATATACAAGGTAAGGAAGTGAAAAGGTGTCAGATGTGGTCAACTTGTAAGGTGAGAAAAATCATCTCGGAATAATTTTCTGGGTGGATATGAGTATCTCTTGGAGGGGTAGGGCATTTTAGGTAGAGGGAACAACCTATGCAAAGGAACAGAGACACAAAATAGCATGCTGTGTTAGGGTAATTTAGTATTGCTTCAGCATAGAAGGTAGGGGAGGGGTGGTAGAGAGAGACATTGTGAGGCATAAGTCAGGAGACTAAAGCAGGGGATAGAGCACAAAGAGCCTTTTATACTCTGCTAAGAAGTATGGACTTCTTTCTGTGAGTAGTACTAAGCCATTGAAGAGTTTTAAGAATAGTAGTGACATAGTGTTAAAACATAAGATCACTCTGGCAGCTTTGTCAAGTGGAATATTTAGGGGACTGGAGTTGGTGACACAAGACAAGAGAGGGAAGCTTTTATAACAGTTCAGGCAGGAAAGAATAAAACCTGAACAGTTAGGTTGAGTATGTTGTAGTTATGTAGATACATCCTATCAATGGTTCTAGACTAGGAATGAGCAAACCATGGCCCATGGGCCAAGTCCAGCCAACCACCAGTTTTTATAAATAAAGGTCTTTTGGAACAGAGCCACACACCCGTTAATTTATGTCTATGGCTGCTTTCATGCTACATTAGCAGAATTGAGTATCTGCAACAAAGACTTCATGGCTCACAAAGCCTAAAATATTTACTACCTGGTCCTTTACAGAAAAAGTTTCCTATTCTAGACTTTCTGTCCATATCTTATTAATCTTTGAATCTCCCACAGTATCCCAAATAGGGCTAAACACTGAGTATATGTTAGGTATTCAGTATCTTTGAAATGAATAAACTTATATATGTATTCTGAATCAAACTTTTATCCATAAGTCATAATGGCCCTACATTATAGAAGTGACTTTGTTCTAGATCAAGAATGCCAAAGGTTTGAATAGTGTGAAAATACAGTATTGGGTCCTTTATAGAATAGATCCATTCATCTATTCAGGGCCTATTTTTTCATTTTTTCTCCTTTGCTATAAGAAATGTCTTAGTAAGAGGTGATGGTGACTTCAAGAAAAATTATGTAAATGATGTAAAAATTGCTCCCTACCATATTCATTTTTCGACTTAGACCACTGGAGTGCATCTTGATACACTGTAGTATACACAATAACTAGTTTACTAGCTATCAGATTTTTCATGCGCATTGACCATGGGATTTTTCTCTTATTTAGTCATTTGTCATTTTTGCCTCAATACTCCTATCCCAAGCATGTTTCTTTCCTCAAGCATATATTAGGTTTATCTACATATGAGGCAGTGAGAAATGGTGAGAAGATCACAAATTTCATAGTCAGAAGACATTATGTTATGTATTACTGTTCTTTCACTTCTTTGTTTCTGACCCATCAAGGGGAAATGCTACCTATTTCACCAGGTTTTTGTGAGAATGACATCAAATACTGTATATGGAAGTGCTTTATAAACTATATAAATACCAGTTATTTCTGTTTTTGTTATTATTGGCTGATTTGAGAGGATATCATATACATCCTTTTCAATATCTGCATTTCTGATTTTTGTTGACTATTTGCAGTTACAATTTTTCTAATTGTAAAGCCAAAATATTTGTTGCCACTGTATAGAATGTATTATCGTTCAGATTTGCAAGTAAGAAGTGGTGCAAATAGTTGACATTATTTCCCTCACTTTGTCCATGTGTTTGAATTTTCTTTGAGCTTCAGGTAATACATATTGATTTGTGATCAATACTCTTTGTACCAAACAGCTTTTAATCTCTTACAGTATCTGTGGAATAGCTAACGCAGGGCACTATGGAGGTGCTTTAGAGAAGAGAAAGATATATGAGACTAATATCACCCCCAAAAAAATATTACTAAAATTTATTTCCTTTTCTGCATTTTAAAAAATCTGCAAAGTTCTTTAAACACTGTTTTCCCAACAAGACTCTTCCTCAGCTGAACAAAAGATACACAGTTTTAGTCTTTCCATTGCTGTAGATGTTTATAGATTTACTGGTAGTGATTGGTGAATAAATATTTAGTTTGGAACTTATGATTTAAAGTTAGTATAGAATTTGAAAACATCCATAACATTCAACTGTTATGATGTTCTTTCTTCATATTATAAAAAGCAATTATTAGTGTTATTTTGCTTCCTTTTCAAAAGATTTAAGCCTAAATAAAGATTTAGTCAGGTGGACAAAACTAGTCTTCTCTGTTAAACTGTTTTTTCAGGTTTTCTGAAACAAGTGGAAAATCCTGTCATAAACACCTGATGTTCATGTCATTTGTACTTGAACCCATGTGTGTGGTCAACTAAAATTCATATGACATTTGGTTGTTTTTATCTTGAAAGAAATGTCTGCTTCAGGTAGAGAAGATTCTTAACCCAATTTCTTCTCTAATCTCTTGTAAGGAAGTAAATTGAGGGGACACACACACAAACACTTTACAACAGAATCAAAGTTCTGAGTAATGTTTACGGAATTTCAATAAAATTATTTTTTATTTTCTATAGAATTTTTGATTGATTAAGGTCATTCCACCCTTAATTTAAGAGGAATGATAAGAACTTTGAAAGGTCAGATTTAAAAGGTTATGAAATTTAAGGGTGACCACTTGATATTTGCTAGTGTTGAAATACAAGTTTATTAGTTTTTGCAGGTAAAAGCTGAAAGATGCTGCCTCTTCTATATTGATTAGCTGTTATAAATAAAATGCAGGAAAAAATCTTACTAATTCAAATGAATGAGAAAAGGTTTTCTGAATGAATAAAAATTCAGTATAGTAGACTTTTTAAAAATAAAATTTTACTAATTTTGATAAAATAGTAAAAGTTGGCTAAGAGAAGTCCTTAGAAAATTTATTTTAATGAACAG